AATCACGTGAAATTTAGTGTCAAAGATCAGTAAACTTTATTAAATAAAAAATTAATTTTTCACATAAAACTAATGGTCCTACTCAATCTGGTCAGTCCAGTCTAACTGATCCTAGTTTTGTATTTAAAAAAAGAAAGAAGAATATGAAAATTTAGAAAATTTTAACAAACGAAAGAATAAAACAAAATAAGAAAATGAAGCTTATCATAACCGTCTAAAATCCAGATCTGAAAAGCTAAAAGAAACATCTAAAAAAAGAAAGTAAATAAGATTAAAGCAAAGTAAGAAAATGAACTTACTGTCTTGGGATCCAGCCAAAGAGCTCAAAGATCTAAAAAAAAAAAATTTGTTAATTAATAACCAAGTGAAAGAAGGAAGAACAAAGCAAACGAAACACCCACTTTGCATCTTGAATCCAGCTGAAGAAACCCAAAGACCTAAAAAAAAAATTGGTTAATTAATAACCAAGCAAAAGAAGGAAGAATGAAACAAATGAAACATCCACCTTGCACCTTGGATCCAGCTGAAGAAACCCAAAGATCTAAAAAAAAAAGAAAATTGGTTAATTAATAACCAAGTAAAAGAAGGAAGAACGAAACAAAGAAGAAAAGAAATAAAACGAAACTTACCATTTTGGATCTAGCTAAAATGTTGAAAAATCTAAAAAAGAAAGAAATTGGTTAATTTAACAACTAAACGAAAGGAGAACGAAACAAAGAAGAAAAAAACAAAACTTACCGCTTTAGATCCAGCCGAAGTGTTAAAAAACTAATCTAAAATGATAAACTATAGATGTAATAAATGTAATAAAATAAATACCAGTAATTTTAATTTTAATTTTTGAAATTACATAATCACATATAAGCATACCTCTATACAATCACACCATAAGGCGATCCCGAAGGGTGTGATTGTAGAGAGAGTCGACTATACATCAATTTTCTAAAAAATTATAAAAAAATAAATCATTATAAAACATATGGAATTATGATATGGAATCATTAATTACATATACAAACCTTATAAAAAAACATATCATTTCCTTATTTCGATTTCTTATAGGGTTTAATAGTATCGTTAAAAATAATCAATGCTACGCATTTTTGACCTCTTAGTTTCTATTTTAGTTAATTATATGCAAATGAAATTTGTGAGTAATCCAAAATTAGACCAATTTACGCAAACTTAATTTATTTGTTTAAAAATTAATCTCATATAAACTCTATGCAAACCTATTTGTGAGTTATATCAGTATTGTTCAGGGTACTAGATTATTTTTTTTGAATGAATATAAGAAAAAGGGTATATATATTAAATAATAAAATTTTTTGGCAATTTTCAGTTAGGGCACCTTGGTCAAAATCACATATTTTATTTATTTTGAATATTTCATATTTTTGTATAAAATTAATTGATATATCTAACACACAATTTAACATTTTATTAAAGAAATTAAATGCCAAGCTCTTAGTTGAGATTGATGAACTTAAGAAGAGATTTGCTGAGATTATAATCAAGAATGATGAGCTTGGGGCTGAGAAAGGTGAGCTTAAGGCCAGAGTTGCTGAACTTTTAAGACAGTCTGCTAAAGAGAATAAGATGCGTGATACCAAGATTAAGAAATTAGAGCAAAAAATATAGAGCTTGAAGTTAGACTTGCGATAGTGAAAAGGCTTCTTTGGTAGTAGATGAAAAATCTCAGAATGATAAGGAAGTGATACCAGAAGTAGAGGTATCAGCTGTTATCATACCTGATTTTCAAGAAGTTCAACGAGCCAGCTCACATAGTAAGCCTAATTGCAAAATATATAATGATGTATCTATCAATTTTAAAAGATTAGATGATATAAATACAAATGTTTCTTGGACAAGTTGTATAAGAAAAGGGTTATTGATAAGATTAGACAATGTAATAGGAAGAAGAAACTTAGTAAAGCAGAGCAAGTATCTCTTAACCAAGATCAAGAATCGATCCCAAAAGAACTATCTGATACTGGGTGTTCTGCTTCTGAAAAGATACTAGTGATATCCAATCCTGTGATTGAAATTTCAGCAGATATGTTCCTGCCAAAAAATAGTCATAGAAAAAAAGTGCAAAAAATATTTCTCAAATGATATCTGATGGTATTCAAAGTGATGGACAGTCTCAAAAATATATTCTTGGTTCTTCTAATGATATATTATCACAATAGAGTCGAATTTCTTCTACAGTACCACTCCTTACTTTAGCTTAATTATTCGATAAAGTGACTGATTCTAGATATAGTGTAATTCATGTGAATCAGGAAGAAATTTTGTGCTGATGCTACTATGGAAAAAATTTATAATTCAAGTTAACTAAACTATTAAAAATAGAAAAATTAGTGAAAAAAAGCGAAAGGAATTATTTATGATAAAATGTTAGAGGATCTTTCCATTCTCCATAAAAAGAGATCTGAAGAAACTGGTTTACAACTCTCAGAAATCACACGTAAATACTTGCAAGAGAAAACTCAGAAAACCATAAAAATATATAATTTATTTGAAAAGATAGGTGTAAAAAATATTAAGTATATTATGACTAAAGATGGTTCCCATAATTATTTTTAAAATTTTTAACTAGTTGCAACTTAAGTTGCAACTATTTATGAATTTTTATATTAAAATAAATTTACAAGAAGTTGCAACCAAGTTGCAACTTAAGTTGCAACTTCTTAATTATGGTGCCTATCTTTAATTACGACATATACTGCAAACTCTATTTCTGAGTTGACTAATGATAAAGTTCAAGATATCATAGATAATTTCTCCAAGCATTTAATAATGATAACGTTGATGTAAAAGAAGTACCAAGTCATATGACTGAGATTTTAGCTGAGGTAAGTATTTCAACTGCATTTATTCTTTCATCCCATATCTCTAATTCTTCAGATGATTCCTCTGAAATCGATTCAAAGAATTCGCCTGCTTCACAAAGTGATCAGCTTATTTTATTCAAGAAGAAGTTACCAAAATGGAAGCGTGATAAGGTTATTGATTTAGTGATAAATCGATTTAAAAGAACTACCTCATGTTTAGATCTTCATACCAATATAGATAGGAAATATATTAACCAAGTAGATTACTACCTCATCCATGATATGCAAATCTGCCCTATATGCAAAAAAAATCATTGTTATCTGGAAGACCACTGATTGATCGATAACAAAGACAGTAAAAAATATTATTTGATTTGCGATAATATCTAAGAACCCGAAATTCCATTTAATAAGATGTTAACACTATATTCTAAAAAACAAGTCTAAATAGCTGGAATTATCTTCTGAAAGTTCTGAATAGAAAAGTAACAGTAGAAGTATAGGGAATAGCATTTTATGTATCATAGGTAACATCTTAATTTGTATTTTTTTTTGCGTGTTGTGTCATACTACTATTAATAAAGTATATTTGTCTTAACGCTTCTAATGAGATATATATTTATTCGCGTGAGGCTAGGAGAGTGACAGTTACTGACCATTGGTTAGGATGTCACGTGAAATTCTTGATCGAAGCTAATTTTGTGTCTAGCAGATTTTCTGAATTTTTTCTTCAGAATTGAAAAAAGAATAGTATTACGCAATTTCGTGGTAATAGTACGGTATTGATATAGTATTTTTTTCAGATCTAATAGTAATATATATTATTTGATGTGGTATTAACACGGTAATTCTTTTGGACCTATCATGATGTATTTTTATCTAGCCAATAGGTCTTACTTTCACATGATTTTGATCAGGCCCAACTGAAATTTTTCAAATCTATTTGCATAATCTAAGCCACATCAATACATTAGAGTCATTCGATATAAGATGACTTGATCTACCAATCTTTCTCCTTATGTAATTGCAAATATGTGATTAAGGAAGATATATATAATAGTTTGACCTTAAACAGATCTTCTTTTCAAACTAAAAAAAATAAAATAATTTTTAGCTATATAGACCAACGAGCAACTTTGAGTCTTAATCGATAACTGCAAAGAAAATAATGAAATGTTTCATAAACTAGCTGGAAATGAAAAGAGAATTTTCTGAAAGAAAGTCTCCACTAAGATCAACCTTCAGTTTGGAACGTCTTATACTGGTACGCATTGTAAAGAAAAGTTTGAGAGTCTCAAACTTGATTGTAAAGTATGTAGAAATTCTTCTAAGTCTCAGCCATGCACAGCGCTGATGTCAAACTAATTTATCTTTTCTATTTAGCGTATGGAAGCATATAAGGATGGTAAAGCTAATGGGAAAAAAGACTAAAAATGGCTTTAAGTATTATTAGGAATTCAAAGAACAGTTTTGGAAAATATCAGGTAAAGATTAGTTGATCAGAGAAAGGAAATATTTATGAGAAGATATACTAATCCCCTAATACTTTATTTCACTATCCCTTAGATTGTCTAGCAGGCAAATTTGCCTGCGAAATTAAAAATAATTGTTAATTTCTTTATAAAATATTA